TTGAATTGTCTATTTTTGTTATTGTTTATGTTAAAAATGTATATTTTTGTGTTTATAAGCCTGAGTGGTCCGTTGTATTTGTTTAAATAATTGTTATGGGCAGGTTACAATATATATTTTTTCTTTTTTGTCATAATCACGTCTTGTGGTTTTTTGACAGGAGTTTTACTTTAAGTGTATTTAATTTAGTTATAAAGCAAATACAACAAAAATTAAACCAAAATTTAGAATAATTATAATTTTGATTGGTATATTAGTAATGTCTGACTGGGCCTCGTGACACTTTACGTTCAACAAATTGGGCCCCGAGGTCAAAAAGGTTAAGAACCCCTGGTTTAGAGGACGACCAGCCGGTTTAAACTTACAACGGGTTTCAAAAAAAGTTGAGACACAAAGTCTAGAAAAAAAAGTGTAATGCTTAAAACAAACAAATAAAAATGAAAATACGTGATGGCGATAAAAGCAGCTCCCGAGAGGAGCGGAGTCTTTCAGAAGAGAAGATAAAGAGACTTGTTGAATTTAACTGGACGACTCTGAGAAACTCTTATAAGATAAAAGACACTTGACTTTGTTTAACAAGTAATGTTTGGACTTTTAAAGTTCTAAAACGCTGCTCTGTGTTAACGGAGTTTGTTTAATCCGGACTGATGAGAGTACAAAACATCCCTGTGGTTCCTTTTTAGTCAGTTGTGGGAGTTTTGTTAAAAGAATGTGTGCAGTTGTGTTATTGTGCAGCGCTTGGTGAAGTACAGATTTAGAAAGATTCAGACAGGTTTTTCAGGAAACGTTGTGTTTCCCCAACAGGAGGAGAAGAAACAGAACTCAGTTTCATAATGAAAAAGCAATAAAACCTGCGAAGCCTGACACCAATAAATAAGTAATAAATAAATATAATATGAAAATCATTGTTTTGCACTTTTTTAAAAGCTTTAAACTCATATTTTTAAGAAAGAAGACGACGTAAAAACTTCTGCTTACATCATCGTTGCCATCAGCCAGGTCCAGCGCCGTCTCGTCCTCCATGTTCCGCAGCATGGTGTCGGCGCCGGACTGGCAGAGGATGTGGGCGATGGCGGCGTCCTGCCTGCCCACGGCCAGGTGCAGTGGCGTGCAGCCGTTGAACATGGCGGCGTCCACGTTGGCCCCCCTGTTGAGCAGCAGCTTCACCGAGGCCACGTCGTGCAGCTCCACGGCCAGGTGGAGCGCCGTTTTACCGCTGGTTCCTTCCTGCGACGAGACGAGAAGGAAAATAACTCAAACGAGACGTGATAAATGGAACCGTTTCTGCTTTTATGTCAAAACTTTTCTTATTAACTGTGTAATTCTGTGCTACATGTGAGGCGCGCGTTATGTTGGGACAGTGATTTAAACACACAGGAATGTCTGAGGCAGTTCCAGCCATGTTCCCTGCCATCAATAGAAAGTTAAGAGCTGCAGGCGGCCACACTAATCATATCTCAAATCTAATTATGTCTCCCTGAATTCTGCAGGAAGCCCCGAGCTCAGCTCATGTCACCCTGCACAGGTGCAGCAGATTTATAAACAGGAACTGGGCGCGAGAAAACAAGCAGTAAATAAAGTCTGCAGGACATTAATGGATTTAACACACAGACTCATCTCTACAAGGCAGTGATGCTTTTGTCTCTGTTAGTTTGTAGCGTTTAATATAACAGGACAGATCTGAGCGAGACTCAAAACGCCAAAATAAAAGTTTTATTTTACAAAAACTGAGATAAAACTTGATGTGGTAGCAGACACTTTTTTCTGTTTTCTATTTTTTTTTTAAACTTCTTTTAACTTCAGATCTGTCAGTTGAACCTTGACGTGTTTGGTTTCAAAAGAAACATAAGAATCTCGGCTAAAAGTTCACGGAAAACATTTTTACATCCAAACACAGTTCCAACATCAAGCAGTGGAATCAGAAAGTAAACAAACTGTACAAAACGGGGTCATTGCAAATGTGTAAAGGAACTATTTTTGACATTATGTTTTAAAGCAAGTCAAAGCAGATATCTAAATTTGTTATAAAGTGAATTGAAAGTTTTGTTCACTTGATTTTGAGTGAATATGATCCAACTGAATCAAATATAATGTCTCTATTTTATATAATATATATGGTGACAAATAAATGTTTGGATATTTTTTTCAAAAGAACAATCATTCAAAACAAGTCTTTTAAGGCAGGTAAGAAAAAATAAATAACTTTTGGATGTAAAAACTTCTGATTTCTTCACATTTATTAATGGTACAATCATGGTCTGAMCTGTGCAGAATGACAAACTGCAAAATTATTTCTTCACTAAAACCTGTGTAACTTTGCTCCAGTTCATTTTAGCAGCATGAATCTTTGCACAGGTGACGTCCACAAGTGGATTTATGGTTTCCAGGAGTTTTTAGTCTGATTCATTTTGGTTTTAAATGGGTTATATACTGTTTAATGAAAACATTACTCAGGTGAGAGTGAAAAATGAATTAAAAAAATTATGTTCCATCCTCAACATCTCTAAAACCACAGCAGCTGTTTTAATATTTACACTTCTGATGAAATCTCCCAAGTGTTGCTTTATTTTGATACCAARATTATTTAAGTAGAGTTTATAAATGCTGAGATACACTCACTCACATTTCAGCATGGGATTTTGAGAAAAAAATTAATGAAAAGCCCTTGGGGCTTAAGAGGTTAAAGGAAAAACCAAAGATGTGATAATATTTAGTTTTTAGATTTAATGATGAGAAACGTCTGTGTGTCTGTATGTGTTATAATAATAATTTTTAGTATGTCAGCTAAATGTGGGAGGGTGGAGGATGTGTATAGTTAATTTTAGAGGTTCTAAGGTTATTTGAACTGTTTTGTTTTAGATTTCTAACTTTTATRTATTTTAATATTCTGCATGTTTATTTTTTTATCATTTTTTATTGCATGAATTTGTAAGCTGTATTGGTTGATTTTATGAATTAGTTGGCAGACATGCTTATGTATTTTTAGTGTATATAGGTATAAACTGTATGTATTTTATTTGATTAGAAACGCCCAACCAGGGACTGCAGTTGTAAATTAGCTGTAGCTACACACTCTGTGCAACGCATCAGGTACAGACTTCATCTGTTCTATGTTTTTGTATGCATTGTCCCTGTTAGATAAAGATAAAGCTGGGAGTCATTCCTAACACAGTTTGAGCTCTAATTGATCATGCAAGGTTGTTGTTTTTTACTTTGCCATTAACTATTGAAGTCAAATGTCTGTTAGCAAACTTTCAGTATTTCAGTAAGTTCAGGAAACACAAAAGCTTTACAGATATTGAGCTAAATTTTCTGCAGCAGTAGCTCAGTCTAAGCAGGATGTCACATTATAGCACGACTTTGTGCATCGTCATGTAAAAGGCCACATCTCCGTCCTCTCTCAGTTTAGTGATATTTTAGTTTAAAACTCTGGCATGAAAGCTGGTGGGCGACATGCACTCCATCAACGAGCGCCAGACCTTTCATATCGTTGGAACGGGAGGTAAGAACTGGGCTTGCACTGCTGCAGGTTCACACACACTTTCAAACAGAGCACGCAGAAACTCACAGACTGACCTGGATGTTGAGATTCGCTCCTTTTTTCGTCAGGAGCTTCAGTATTTGATGTTGCCTGTGCAGCACAGCCAAGTGAAGACAGGCGAGACCTGCGAGGAAAACAACCACCTGCTTTGAAATGTGCAACGTGGAGCTCCACAAACATGTAGCAGGTGCAGCTTAGAATGAAAAGAAAACGTGGTGCTAAAATTGCAGTTTTGGAAAATCCCATTTAAAGGTTAATGGGTGTAAATGTTTTCAGTCTAATGCAAAAAGCATTTTTGTTCCTAAAGCTTGTTTAAATTACTACAACAACTGGGTGGTTTTCTTTACGACACAACTTCCTTCCAAACCTGCTGCCTGACATCATTTCTGGTGATTGTTGCCACYTTGTGTTTCTCACCTCTCCAGTTCTGGGTCTCGAGGATCGGCRCCAGCTTGCTGGGAGAAACCACTCGGGTCATTTCGGCGGCGCAGTCCGTCAGGCCGTGTTGGCAGGCGGCGTGCAGCGGCGTGTTGCCGTCCTGGTCCTGCAGCTCCAGGCTGGCCCCYTTCTCCAGCAGGGCCTTCACCACGTCCACCAGGTTCAGGTAGACGGCCAGGTGCAGCGGAGTCTGAGCACGAAGGASAACGCTCACTTAAAGCTGACTGACGACACAGCAGTCAAAATCACAACATTTAGTATTTTTAGGATAATTCTAAGTGTTTATGATGATTTATGACCTCTTTTGCCCTCATTTGTCTGCATTTGAAAGAGTATTTTCCACAGACCTGTACCTGTTTTCACACATCAAAGACCTGCTGAGAAAATGAAAGTAACATCTTCTTTTCAAAACAAACCCGCTTCTGGCCGTCCTGCATTTTCACCTTCGCTTTTTTTTACATGGTGGATTTAATTTTCGTCAGATCGTTTGTTTGACTTCTGCAGTAAAAGCAAAGTGTAACCGTGCTACACATGACTAGAATTTAAAAGAAGCAGAAAAGTACCTTGTTTTTTTTTTTCTGTTAAAACCCTAAGAAGTGAAGCAGAAAACTTCTCGGTAATATAAAGTCTTAGAATGMCTATCGAGAGGAAATTATGCAACCCAGAAGCAGCGAGTGCAGAGCTAACTGAGTCATGGCTTAAAGTGCTGACTCGTTCCTTTTGACAGTTCGGCTGGTTCGAGTCGCCCTGACTTCAGGTCTTATTGGATTTTCTGTTTGTTTGTTTTGTTTTGAAGGATTGGGACAAACTCCACCTCCACGTAAGGATACACTCCACCAGTTTCCCTGTGCTTCTATTTCTACRCGAGGTAGAGGAGGAGTTTCTATTCAAACTGTCCACACCAGAACCACCCACARTGACTGCACATAAAAAAACAGAAGAACAGAGATATAAATGTGAGCCATCACATCGAAACGAGGATTAAGTCCAAAAGTTGTACATGGAGAAATAGGCAAATAGTGTTTTGACTAAAATGTTAACAAAAATTGCATTTTGTCAAAATATAATGAATAAAAGCCTTATCAATGCAATATACAGAAGACATCTTGATTTAGATTACATTTACAAATGAAAGTATTAAATTATAAACACTTTCATAAAAATAGTATTAGCGGTGTCCATTTTTTCCAAGACATGGAAATATTGTCTTTATAATCCTTTTACATAAAAATAATTGTGCTCCACATATTTGACACACCTCTCCTTGGGCTGCTACCTTATCGTGGTGGAGGGGTTTGAGTGTCCCAATGATCCTAGGAGCTATGC